AACACGGGGGTAAACGAACACATAAGATAAACGTGTGAAAGCATGATATAGAAACCAGTAGAAGAAAGAACGGAGCGCAATAGAAGAATATGCATAATAAGGCAAATATAAGAACACAGGAGAAGGGCATGCGAGGTAGAAAAGAGAACATAAAACATAGCATAGACAGATTCACACAAAGAAAAGAAGAAGAGGAGTCAGAAAACATTTTAAAACTTTTTCAGAAACCCTAAGTCAAAGAGAAACAAATTTTGAAAGAAAAGATTGGGGAAAACGTTTTAAAACTCCAATAGAACACAGATATAGCATAGATCTAAGGAAACAAACAGAGAAAACCTCGAATAGCTTAGGGTTTCAGAGAAACCCTAGAAATGAGAAAGGCTTGGAAGAAAGTCCGATCTTGAGTCGGAGAGGTCAGAAATAGGCTCCTGATGCTTGGATACGCCGGAGCGAGGCCGGAGAGGCCTCAAAGCCATGGATCTGAGAAGATTTGAAAGAACACCATCGAGGTCAGACCTCGAAACTTCGAACACCCAGGGTTTAAAGGTGTAGGGGGGTGAGTATAGGCCATCCATGGCCTGAGAAGCCATGGATTCCGGTGAAAGTGCGGTTGAAAAGGGCAGAAGATGACTAGGGTTNCGACACAAAAAGAAGAAATTAAAGGAGTGGGAGCTCGTCTATTCTCGTGCGTGGCACGAAGTCGGACGCGAAAAAAGGAGAAAAGTTAAGGCACAAAACAGCGAAGCGAAGCAAAGTCACGGAGCGCTTCGCGAAATGGAAGAATTTCAAAAGTTGGATCCGCGTCAAAGTCCGCGTCTGGACGCGAAGGCAAACGCGGATTCCAGCTCTCCCATCCGAAGTTGGATTGAAGAATTCCGCCCTCATCAACCCTAGGTCATATAAATACATCCTAAAACACCACTTTGAAGGGAGAGACACTACTTTAGGGTTAGACAACACCCTTGGAGGCAAGAACACGCTAGGAGCAAGGAGGAAGATTCAACTACGAGTTTTTCCCCTTCTTCTTCCTATTTTATTGTTGGTTATGAATTGGAGTATTGTGTTTTCACATACTTTTATGAATAGCTAATTCGTTTTCTAGGGTTTTAATGGAACCTTTTGGGGATGAATTGGTTGTTATATTAATATAGTTTTGAGTTAGTTGTTAATCTCTATTTGTTCAACTACGTTTTGATTTTGGTTAATTGAAATGATCCTCAATTAGCCGTTCCTATTTATTATGTATCTGCTTGAGAGAGAGTGCATATTTAGGTAGTTGTTTGAACAACATCACTCCCGTAGTATAGGCGAGAGTCATAACCGAGGGTTTAGAGGTTGGATTAGAGATAACGATACCTCGGGTGCGATATAAGTGAACTGTAATGTGAATCTAGATAGCGTAGCTTGAGAGAGTGCGTCTAGTAAATTATCATAATTGCTTGAGAGAGATTTATGATAGCTGGAGAGTTCATGATTGATACAGGCAACTAATTCAAAGCTATAAGAAACATACAACTAATGAAATCAACAATTGGGGAAATCATAACTCTAGACCTCCTTAATTTAGTCTCCAAACCTTTGTCTCGTTAGTTGATAATTTTACCGTTTTATAGTATTTGTTGGTTAATTAGTTAGATATAAAAATCTTAATATTATAATTTAGGAATTGTTCAAACTTGTCTTCTTTGCGATATTGAACAATTACAGTGAAACCTTAGTTCTCTGTGGGATTCGACTCCGGACTTTTAGACCGGATTATATTTGCAGCGACCGCTTATCCTTTTTAGGACTAGAGTTGGGCGTGATCATTGACACCCAAATTCATTACAGAATTGAATTATAGTGCAGTGTGGAAGGGTCAGCCCTCAAATGTCCAAGTTCAGAGGGAACTCAAGGTCCCCAGAGCAGGGCTCATAGGAGGGGGGCAGAACTTAGAAACTAAGAGTAAGTGTAAGTGCAGAAAGGGGTTTAGGGGAAAGTCAAGACACAGACTGGTGGTCATACCCAGCAATTGGAAGTGATGGCACACCCCAACCAGCCTGTTAGCCACATTGTTTGGGAGTTAGGATCCTTTAAAGGATCAAGCACAGACATGAACAACAATTTGGATGCTGCCATGCCTGAACCTTAACTCAAACACATAGAAGGGAATAGGGGTATGGGGATTCACAGCAGAAAACGGATGCAAAGAGGACATCATACATATAGACAACAAAGTAGACAGGATGATAGAAGTTGTGAAATAAGCACATTGGGATGAGGCTGAAACTTTATTAGAACATACCAGTTTCAGGGAAACAAGAAAGTAAAAGCAGTAGTCTTGTAAAGCCAAATTACAAGCAAATAGTCAGAATATCTCATAAGAGAGTAGAGTGTTGGGTGGAGCGTAAGAGTATTGAAATTGAAAGTAAGTAATGTATGTTAGAGTATTGAACTCAAGGTGTCTTAAAGTGCTGAAAGGTCGTGCCCTTTATAGTGCAGAAAGCAAGTAAGAAAAATGTAAGAAAATAGTTTTGAAATCAATTACATAAGGTCTCCCTTTAATTATGGGATTCTGATTTCAAACGAGCAGAATAAATAAGGAAAGAATTTGATCAAAATCTTTTCCAAAGTAGTACAAGAAGGGCAAATACACAGAAAACTATTTAAGGAAAGAGTTTGATAGCAACACGGTTTGTGCAAATAAGGAAAGGCAATCAATCAACGGCCAGTAAAAATCAGAAATTGAGTTTTGGTATGAATGAATCCAACCAGAAAAGGTGAAGAAAGGTTTAATTAAAGAAAATTAGTAATAATCAATCGAACCTTATTAAAAGGAATTTTGAATCAATCACAAATTGGCAAAACCTTTTTTGAAGGAAGAATTCCTCATATATAAAGCATACAAACATGTCAAACAAGAAAGAACTGCCATGCTAATTAGAAAGAATCTAGTATAGAAAAGTTCAGAGTCACAAACAAAGAGGCTCAAATTCAGGTTATAGACTCAGACTTAGTTTGAGAGAATCCGGGGTTCCATAATAGAACCCTAGTCCACACACAAGATCAAACTCGCCAAAAACCCCAAATCCTAGGGTTTTCAATTTGAATCAGATGCAGAGACGAGAAGACAAATAACTGAAACAGGCTCAGAGGGCTCTTTCAGAGACTCATGAGAAAACACACAGGTAAAATAGCAGGTTCGAAACAAATAGAGTGAAGAAACTGATTTAAAGCATAAAGAACATGTTTTAAGAAAAGCTTGGAACTTAAACAAGTTCATAAGACAAAGAGGTAGTATAAACTTAAGGAAACAGTAGATGAAACATGTTTAGAAAGAACTCAAACAAAGTCCAGAAGAAGGCAAATAAAGAACTAAGAGCTTAGTAGAAAATACAGTAAAGGAACACAGGGGTAAACGAACACATAAGATAAACGTGTGAAAGCATGATATTGAAACCAGTAGAAGAAAGAACGGAGCACAATAGAAGAATATGCATAATAAGGCAAACATAAGAACACAGGAGAAGGTCATGCGAGGTAGAAAAGAGAACATAAAAACATAGCATAGACAGATTCACACAAAGAAAAGAAGAAGAGGAGTCAGAAAACATTTTAAAACTTTTTTAGAAACCCTAAATCGAAGAGAAACAAATTTTGAAAGAAAAGATTGGGGAAAACCTTTTAAAACTCCAGTAGAACACAGATATAGCATAGATATAAGGAAACAAATAGAGAAAAACCTCGAATATCTTAGGGTTTCAGAGAAACCCTAGAAATGAGAAAGGCTTGGAAGAAAGTCCGATCTTGAGTCGGAGAGGTCAGAAATAGGCTCCTGATGCTTGGATACGCCGGAGCGAGGCCAGAGAGGCCTCAAAGCCATGGATCTGAGAAGATTTGAAGGAATACCATCGAGGTCAGACCTCAAAACTTCGAACACCCAAGGTTTAAAGGTGGAGGGGGGTGAGTACAGGCCATCCATGGCCTGAGAAGCCATGGATTCCGGTGAAAGTGCGGTTGAAAAGGGCAGAAGATGACTAGGGTTACGAGGAACCTTCGAGAGAGTTTTGGGAAAGGAGAGTGTTTGAAGGCGGCTGAGAGATGGAAATGAGGGGATTAGGGTAGGGTTAGGTGAATTAAATGGTAAGGGGTGATCGTGGTCGTTGATCAAAACGATCAATGGCCTGGATTATAGAAAAGGCCAGCAGGTTAATTGGTTGGGTCGGGGGGTCGGGTTACAATTTGAGATTGGGCCGGTCTAATTGGGAGTTTAGGATTGGGTCAATTGGAGGGGTCAATTTGGCTATAATTGAAATAAATTGGGGCTATATACTAAATAGATAGTTTTTCCTTTTTTATTTTATAATAAATAGTAAAAATGATTCTAAAATTAAATTAAAAGTACTGAATCAGTAAATACTATATAAATATTAATTTTAAAATATTGGAACCAAATTTATAATTATAAAATGCTATTAATCTTAAAATAGGCTAAAATTGCAATTATATGCAATTTAGCTTTTAAAATACCAAATAAATTTGTAAAAAATATATAAAAATTACCTTAACTATATTTTGGTATAAATATGGGAAATAAAAATAATTATCCACCAAAATGATAATTTTGGGAATAATTATTGGTTTTTATACTGCTAAAATGGGCAATAAATTGATTTTAAAAATCTTTTAGAAATTAGTAAAAATACTAAAACACTTTGGCACGCTTATATATGCATGCATATGTTATATTGAAAATATATATAGGGAAAAATTGGGTATCAACAGCTGCCTCTCTTTACACGGGAAGGATGAAAGAGTTGTCGGGTAAAGATATGATGGCCAATTTGACCGAACGAAACGGCTTGAAGAATTTGACCGTGCTCTAGTTCCTGAGCTGCCTAGATATCCCTGGTTTTACAGGAATCAGGCCATATGTAGTTCAGGATCCGTTGGCGGAATATGCCGATGGAGATTTTTCCAAGGACAGACGAGATATTCGGGTTGGGGTGGATGGTTATAGTCTAGTAGGGCTGCGGGAACTGGAGCGGGATCGCTCCTACTGAGATGGCTGTTGCTAGCCGGTTTACCTGCAAATGAGCAATACGAACATATATTGTGCATAAATTTAAACGTGATGCAAGTTTCCGTTGGACCATGAATGATGTCTTTGGACGGTTAAGATGATGTCCTCAGACCATGACGTCCTGGGCCATGAAGCGTATAATAAAGGATTCGCCGGCTATGAAATGATGTTCTCGGGCTATAAGAATGATGCCTCCGAACCATGATGCCTTTGAATAATGCTATGAAAAAGATAAAATGGGGTCCTCAGGCCATAGCATGGCGTTCTCGAGCTATGCAAATGGTGCCTCCGAACAATGACGCCCTTGGACAGTTTGGCGATCTTTCAGCCCATGAAATGTAATAAGTGGTGATCTTTCAGCCGATGTAAGAATGTAAATAAAATGGCGATCTTTCAACCGGTGCAAGAATGTAAATAAAATGGCGATCTTTCAGCCGATGCAGGATTTAAATGAAGTGCGATATTCCAGCCATGCAAAACTGTAAGTAAAATGGCGATCTTTCAGCCGATGCAGGATTTAAATGAAGTGGCGATATTTCAGCCGATGCAGATGGAGGTAGAGCTTAACCTCGGAAGGCAGAATGGTGGCCTTATGCAATGCAGAGAGATGCAGATGGAGACAGAGCTTAGTCTCGGAAGGCAGAAAGGTAGCCTTATGCAATGCAGAGAGATGCAGATGGAAACAGAGCTTAGTCTCGGAAGGCAGAAAGGTAGCCTTATACAATGCAGAGAAATGCAGATGGAGACAGAGCTTAGTCTCGGAAGGCAGAAAGATAGCCCTATGCAATGCAGAGAGATGCAGATGGAGACAGAGCTTAGTCTCGGAAGGCAGAAAGGTAGCCTTATGCAATGCAGAGAGATGCAGATGGAGGTAGAGCTTAACCTCGGAAGGCAGAAAGGTAGCCTTATGCAATGCAGAGAAATAAAAGGCGAATAGCAGTAAAATCTCTTAGCTGATAGCTGATTGCAATACTGTGGCTGCTGGGGATATTGTGTGCGGATAGCAATTGTAGATAGGTGATGGTTTTGAAAGTTGTATGAGTGTATAAATGTATTCGATGGTTTGCGACTCGGGTACCTGCACCCAAAGAAAAATCATGAGTTCTGTAAAGGGGAAAAGGTTAGTTCGTATCCCCGCTGACATTTTCTTGACCCGCTCGGCTCTGTTTTGGTGATACTGTGCATATCCTTGGGGTAGCGTTGCTAAACAAAACAATTTTGATAATAGACATGCATGAGTTAGTAAAAATACGACATAAATATATAATTGAGAATAGTTTTTCTTTAGGTGAACCGACGACTGCGACTCGGTTCAAGACATTGCAACCTCTCTTGCTTCGGAATTTTGAGGGTCCTCCTTAAAATTCTGCCCCGGTTTACTGAGCTGGTGCTTCTGACGGCGGCTTGCAGTGATCGACTGAAGTTACTTCGGAATTTTGAAGGTCCTCCTCAAAATTCTGCCCCAGTTTCCAATTGCGGGGGGAAATGAAATTTTTATTGAATTGTGACCGAACCCATAAGGTTGCCTACGTATCCCCTCTTAAACGGGAATCAGGTCAGACGTAGTTCAAATTACACCATAAAAGAAATCATAAATGGTTACACATAGTATCGCTTCACTACATCGGAATTAATCGGCTTCGGCCAAACTTCTCCGTCCATTTCTGCAAGTATGAGGGCTCCTCCTGTTAGAACCCGGTGAACCATGTACGGACCCTACCGGTTGGGAGAGAATTTCCCTTTGGCCTCATCCTGATGCGGGAAAATCTTCTTTAACACCAGCTGCCCCGGTGCAAACTGTCTCGGCTTGACTCTTTTGTTGAAGGCTCTGGACATTCTATTTTGATAAAGCTGACCGTGGCAAACTGCATTCATTCTTTTTCCATATATAAGAGCTAACTGCTCGTAGCGACTCTTTACCCATTCTGCATCATCGAGTTCTGCTTCCTGTATATCCTCAAGGAAGGAATTTCTACCTCGGCGGGAATGACCGCCTCTGTACCATAAACCAACATGTAGGGAGTTGCCCCGGTTGATGTGCGTACTGTGGTGCGGTACCCCAATAAAGCAAATGATAATTTCTCATGCCACTGCTTATGCTTTTCTATCATCTTCCTTAGAATTTTCTTGATGTTCTTGTTGGCGGCTTCTACGACTCCATTCGTCTGAGGCTTGTAAGCTGTGGAATTCTTGTGTTTGATCTTGAAGGTTTCACACATAGTCTTCATCAAGTCACTGTTGAGGTTGGAACCATTATCAGTAATGATTGATTCTGCAATCCCGAACCGACAAACGATGCGGTCCCGGACAAAGTCTGCTATGACTTTCTTAGTTACTGCTCTGTAAGATGCTGCTTCGACCCACTTGGTGAAATAGTTGATCGCTACTAGGATAAACCTGTGCCCGTTGGAAGCAGCAGGCTCGATTGGTCCAATAACATCCATTCCCCAAGCGGCGTCAAGTCTCCCCAAGAAACTCATTACTTCTTTCTTATTCATTGGCGGTGGCAATTCTTGAATAGCTTTGACCTTTGATAGATCCAATTCTATCCCTCGGCGGCTCACAATGAACCCCAGCAATTTTCCAGCTGGAACCCCGAATGCACATTTCGCGGGATTCAACTTCAAGTTGTACCTTCTCAGTCTATTGAAGAATTTCCTCAAATCTTCCATGTGATCAGCGACTTTCTTGGACTTAATGATGACGTCGTCTACATACACTTCGATCTTCTTGTGTATCATGTCGTGGAAAATGGTGGTCATGGCCCTCATGTAGGTGGCCCCTGCATTCTTTAATCCAAACGGCATCATCTTGTAGCAATACATCCCCCATGGCGTAATGAAAGCTGTTTTCTCAAAGCATCATCTGCATCCATCCATATCTGATGGTACCCAGCAAAACAATCGACAAATGACTGCAGCTCATGCTTGGCGCAGTTGTCAATAAAGATGTGTATATTCGGAAAGGGGAAGTCGTCTTTTGGACTGGCTTGGTTGAGATCCCGGTAGTCGACACAGACTCTGACCTTCCCATCCTTCTTTGGTACTGGCACAATGTTGGCTAACTATGTTGGATACTCTACCACCCTGAGAACCTTAGCTTTGACCTGTTTAGTGACCTCTTCCTTGATTTTCAAACTCATATCTGGCTTGAATTTTCTGAGCTTCTGCTTTACTGGCGGACAAGCCGGATCAGTCGGCAATTTGTGAGCCACAATGGATATGCTCAGACCAGTCATGTCGTCGTACGACCAGGCAAATATGTCCTCATACTCTCTTAAAAACTCTGTATATTCTTCCTTCTCTGATGGTGACAAATGAACGCTGATTCGTGTTTCTTTGATGTTTCCTGCATCTCCCAGGTTGATGATTTCGGTCTCGTCCAGGTTGGACTTAGGTCTATTCTCAAAATTCTCAACTTCTTTAACAATTTCTTCCGGTATATCATCTTCCTCTGAATCTATGTCCGTTTGTTGCATTGTCTCATTTCAAGTCATAGTCATCGGTTCATCAAGATAAGTAATAGTAATGCTGTATAAGTAAAGTAATGAGAGAAAATAATAGGAGTAAGATTTATAAGAAAACCGAATTGCTTTTGATAAATTCCATAAATGTTTTAAACATCGGAGCTCTTTCTTGCCAAAACAAAAATGCGAAAGGAAAGTAAACTAGTAAAAAATAAAATAGTGCATGGTGCTTGTTCAGCCTTGCTACCCCGAGGCACGCCGGGCTCTGGTGGTTCTGACGGTCCATTTGTTGAGGCATGCTCCTCCGCTTACAGCCTGTATGGAAGGTCCTACACTCAGAGATTTTCGTGAGTTCCTCGTATATAATAAAGTATCTTCCGCCCCCTTCCACAACTATTTAGATTTCCTATCGGGCTCTCCAATCTAATTCAAGGTCCAGTCATTATACAATGCATTAATAATAGAAAATTTTGATTTGTAGTAGAAGGTAATTGCGAAGTCTTGATAGCCCCTCTAGCATTCGAATATTTCCTTGAAGCCTAAATATGCAATGCAAGGATATTTACAATTTTTTAGAAAAACCCCCAGACCAGATGTTTAGAATCAAACAAGTATCAACAGTCNTTTCATCAGTTGCCCCAGAACATATCCGAATGCTCCATCCAATACCGCAAGGTAGAGTATTAGGGGTCTACCTAGCTCGGGCGGGACCAAAACTGGCGGTGTTGACAAGTACTCTTTGATTTTGTCGAAGGCCTTTTGGCAGTCATCGGTCCATTTGGTAGTGGCGTCCTTCTTCAGCATCTTAAAGATTGGCTCACAGATGACAGTAGATTGTGCAATGAACCGGCTGATGTAGTTAAGTCTCCCCAAGAAACTCATTACTTCTTTCTTATTCTTTGGCGGTGGCAATTCTTGAATAGCTTTGACCTTTGATGGATCCAATTCTATCCCTCGGCGGCTCACAATGAACCCTAGCAATTTTCCAGCTGGAACCCCGAATGCACATTTCGCGGGATTCAGCTTCAAGTTGTACCTTCTCAGTTTATTGAAGAATTTCCTCAAATCTTCCATGTGATCAGCGGCTTTCTTGGACTTAATGATGACGTCGTCTACATACACTTCGATCTCCTTGTGTATCATGTCGTGGAAAATGGTGGTCATGGCCCTCATGTAGGTGGCCCCTGCGTTCTTTAATCCAAACGGCATCATCTTGTAGCAATACATCCCCCATGGCGTAACGAAAGCTGTTTTCTCAGCATCCTCTGCATCCATCCATATCTGATGGTACCCAGCAAAACAATCAACAAATGACTGCAGCTCATGCTTGGCGCAGTTGTCAATCAAGATGTGTATATTCGGCAAGGGGAAGTCGTTTTGGACTGGCCCGGTTGAGATCCCGGTAGTCGACACAGACTCTGACCTTCCCATCCTTCTTTGGTACTGGCACAATGTTGGCTAACCATGTTGGATACTCTACCACCCTGAGAACCATAGCTTTGACCTGTTTAGTGACCTCTTCCTTGATTTTCAAACTC